AAGAAGAACAGAGATACACAAGGTACTGAAAATTTCAACTCTTTTCATTAGTAATACTCTGAATGTTTACAGTATTATATACTAATCAATAAACGATTTTTCTGTTTTGTTTATTTTCTAATAGTTCTGACAGATATCTAATATCACAGGAACTCAAAGACAAACTAACTAACCCTGTATGTGCTCCACATTTTAACCTCAGCAACCAGATAATATTGTTGATCCTAAATCCTCTACTGGAGAGTCTTCAAGTATTCTTGGTTTTGTGAAAGGACCAATAATGTACATGGTAACCGATGACTTGGTTGTGATTCAAATGTCGTCCATTTCTGCTGTTTCATATATCAATACACTAAAAGTACCACTTTTTGACTTGGAGGAAAGGGTCATTTCAATTGGTGTGAAGGAGGTAAGAAATTGTGGGGAATCTTACTTTGTATGCTGTTATTCTCGATATGAGATAATATCACACTCTTTGTTTGAATTGTGCAGGGTCTTGGGATATTGAAAGCTTCATTGACCTCAACATTTGCTTTGACAGAAGGTTTGAAACACTTGATAACACCTATTGAAGAGAAGAATGGTTCAATCACTTCCATATTGTTTGAAGTTGTAAAAAGGATTCTCACCAACTGTAATTTTGACCACAATGTTTTTGGACTTTCCATGGTTGTATCACCAAAATTGTGGTGCCATTCGCTGCATTTGTCCAAAGTTCTCTTCCATGTCAAAGATCACAACAAAACTATTATTTCAAATGCAGTTTAAATCTTGGGTGATGGAATTTGTGTTCTTCAAATTCAGTTCTAGATATATAGGAGACCTAGCTTTTATAATGTTATTGTGCTTTGTGTTTGGTGAAACGCGGCTTATCAAATATAATGCTATTAACAGTTACTTATTCTGTTTTTCTAATAGATTTTAATGTAAAGCACTCTTCTATCAATATTTCAGAAGTCTATGAAGTGTTGTTTGTTGCAAGTTATGAGTTAGCATTTTTGGTCATGTGTAAATTTAAGGGATTCTAATTTTTTAAAGAGTAATGCATTTTTTTTATAATATTTTAAATATTAGATTTTAGGTTCTCGTCGTAAAAATAATAATTTTATGAAATAAAGGCGTCATATTTATTTCACGGTAATTTATGTGAAAGAAAAAAAATAATGTAATACTAATAAAATGAAAATTGTGTAATATGTTTATTCTTTGATGAAAAAGCGTTAATAGATATGATGAAATGGAAAAAAGGTTTATTAATTAAATATCATGTAATATTGTTAAAATTATTTAGTTATATATCTAACGCATTTTTGTTGTAATTGTATTAACAATTTATTTTAAAGAGATAGTTACATTTACAAATTGCAAACATTACATTATTTGTCTTCATGTCTTTTTATCATTATAAAATTAAATATGTTTTTAGTTCCTTAATTTTAATATAAAAATTAAATTTATTTATATTTAAAACTTTAATATATTTTAATTTCTAAACATTAAAAATGAATGAATTCAATTCTTTTAACTTAATTAAATTAATTTGTTTATGTATCAAACACGTTTTCGGTTAAAGTGACAGCTTATTAAATTATATAAATAATTTAAATGTTAACATGAAAGATGTTTAAACAATATTCGTAATTGGATTTAAAAGAATGGTATTATGTAAAATGTTTATTTTAAAAATTTGAAAGACCAAAAAATGTATGTAAATGTTCTAGACATGAACAAATTCCAATTTGTATTAAAGTTTAACTATTAAAAACAATCTAACTATTCTTTATATATTAATTTTTTATCTTTTTTATTTTATTATTGTTGTGAAATTAAAAAAAATATATAGATATAGGCACATAATAATATTCATTTGTTATTCCTTTTTCACGAATGAATAAAAGTATTTCTATATTTGATGATTTCTAAAATTACTAATTATAAAAATTGTAAGTAAGTAATAATTTTCAAAGTGACTTTGTTGGATGAGAATACACTAACCTTATGTTTGGATAAGGAATTCTAACTATTCTAATAAATTGCATTTGATTGAATTCTTTTAATTTAAAAGTTTACGTGGAGGGTAATTGAAATATTTTGAATTTCTATTTTCTTGTTTTGGATTAAAGAAAATTTAATTTATTTTTAAGACAAAAGTTCAATTTTAAAAATATTTGATTCAATTTTCAATTTAAGTTGACTCATCTCGATCTTCAACCCAAACAACTTGTTTAGATTCTTAATCAGGGTTGACTTTATTCATCATTCTAACCAACGAGGAATTTCATAACTTATGAAATTTTAATTTCCTTTATTTAGTAAATTTAAAATTATATTATTTGTTATTTAAAGAAAAACTGAATATTACACTTATTCAATTATGAATTATGTAAGTCGCTTAACAATTGTTTATATTTAGTTAATGTATTTAGTTACTTATTTTAAATAAATGTTTTGTGTTTTGATATATGTTTGGTGTGAGTAAGAATGCAGAGTTGAGCGATTGTCGTAACTGGAAAGAATCGGCGGAGATGGGGAAAAAAAAAAATGACGCGAGGGACTCTTATAAAAAATAATTGGAAATATCAAATTTTGGAAGTCCGTCACCATAGTGTATTCTGGCAAAAACTGCCTGAAAGAAAAAAAAAAAAAAAAAAAAAAAAAAAAAAAAAAAAAAAAAAAAATCATAAAAAAGTAAGGCATGGTCATGAAATCAGGAGTTTTAAGGATCGGGGAAGCCGGGGTTACGCGTTAGGGAATGGTATTAGCAGCCTACAAATTTTGGGGCCTGTTCCCGAAGGCAGTACCTTTAATTAATTGTGCAAAAAAAAAAAAAAAATGATTGTGGTTTTCAAAATTGGTTATTTTCCCTGAAAATAAAACCCGTATTTACAAGGACAATACAAAATGAAAAGAAAAAATGTTTTTTGGGGAAAAATTGAGAAAAATGTTTTTGGAAAAATTGTTTAGAAAAATGATTAAGGATACATTTGGATTTTTAAGGAGATGAACCTCACAAGGCATTGCCTTGCTCCTACCTATCTCCATTTTTTATAGAGAATCAATGATCACGTAGTTCTAGCTATTTTTCTTGATTTGAAAGCTATTGATATTTTTGATTTTGGGATTTTATGTTTTTTTAGTATTTTTGGATTATCTTGAAGAAAAAGTTATCATAATGTAATCAACAAGTTGGATATAAAACAAAATAGAGGATCAAATTATTTTTGTAGTTTTTCTAAAAAAAAATTTTGTTTAATTTTTTAATGAATTTTTTTTGAACAAGTTCACATGATATAGACAGATGATAAGATGGAAAAAAAAAAAAAAAAAATTACAACAAAAAAGATTTTTAATTTGCTTGCAAGAAAAACTAACATTTTTTTTATTTTTTATATTTTAATTATCACACAAATCCCAAGAGCTGACACTTGGACATGATAATCAAAATGATATTGAAAAAAAAAAAATGTTAATTATCAAGTAAGTCCGGAGGGGGGGGGACTTTGACATTGGGACAATTGAAATTATTAGTATGGGAAAAAAACGTAATTATCAAGCAATGTTCGAGACTTGACACATGACCCAATAAATTATTATATGAAAAATTGGAATTAATCAAGCAAAATCCGGAGGGGACTTCTGGACATGATAATTATATTTTTGTGGATTTTTAGACGATAAAAAAAACAAAATTGGTTTATAAAATGGAAAAATTTAGGAATTTTGAATAAAAAACAGTAAACAAACAAGTAAAAAAACAATTTATGGAAATAATAAAACCAAAATTTAATAAGGATAATTCAAAACAAAGGGAAAGAGGATGAAGGGTAAGAAAACCTGGATGAGGGAAGAAACCAATGATGGATTAGTCCGAATCAAGATGCGGAGTTGAAAAATAGGGGAGGCTTCAAGGAAGATTGTTAGATGGTGAAAAATGGAAGGAGAAAGAAAAAGAGGGTCGGGAAGCGGTTTGGGCGGGGGTGATTTATGGCAACGGGGTCAGGGGTTGTTGTGGGGGAGGTTGGTTGGGGTGGGGATTCTGTGGTGTTTGTTGGTGGGGGATCTGTTGGTGTGTTGGAAGTGTTTTCCATGTGTTGGTTGTTGTGTAGAAAGATGGATAGGTGGGCAGATAAGAAAGTGTTGGGAAAAAAAGATATTTGTAGTGTGGGAGTGAGAAGAATGAAGTTAGGATTTTTGGGTGGAAATGAAGAGAGGAGAGGGGTTGGTTTTGTTGTGAGAGAGAAAAGATGGATATTGTGTAATTGTGTGTGTGAAAAAGGAGTGAAGAGAATGTGGGTATTTATAGAGTTAAGGATGGAGAGAGTGTTAAATAAAATATAATTTTTTTTCAAAATGAGTGGAAAAAATAGAAGAAGTTAAGGTGAAAAATTAAGTAAAGGAAAAAAATATTATAAAAAGTTGGTGGGATGAAGATTAGGTGGAAATTAAAATTTTATAGTAAGTAAATAGTTAAAAAAACTTAATGTGGATTGGGGAAAATTAAGTTTAAAGAAATAATATAAAAGTGGGTGGAGAAAGTAGGTGAATAAAATATAGTGAAGAAATAGTAAAAAAGTTAATGTGGAATGAAAAAATAAAGGGTAAAGGGAAAATAATATAAAAAGTGGGTGGGGAGGAAAGGAACAGTAGGTGATGGAGAAAGTAGGTGAAATAAAATTAATATAGTAAAATAGTAAAAGTTTTTTAATGTGGGGGACAAATTAAGTGAAAGAAATAATATTAAAAAGTTGGGTGGAAGAAAAGTAGATTTGAAATAAAAATATAGGAAATGGTTAAAAGTTAATGGAAAAAAATAAAGTGAAGGAAATAATATAAAAAGTGGGTTGGGAGAAAAGTAGGGTGAAATAAAAATATAGTAAATAAGTTAAAAGTTATGTGAAAAAAAATAAGTGAAAGAAATAATATAAAAAGTTGGTGGAAAAGTAGATGGAGAAAAATAAGTGAAAGAAATATTTGGATGCATTTTCTAAATATTAGTATTGGTAAAATAAAACTTATAATACATTGGTTCCTATTTTTGTCAATTTTGTTTAAAGTGGTCCTCGGCTTTTTTCGGTGTTCAAAGTAGTCTCAATTTTTATAATTTGTGTTCAATTTGATCATTTTCTATAACGACGTGTAAATTGTTAACAACACTTTACCTACGTCAACCATTACTGAATGCGGTGTAAGTTTTTCATATACGTGGAAGAGGTGACGTGGAAGGGTGGTAATTGAATATGGCCATGAACCTCTCACTACCCAAAACCTAGCCAACATAGAACAACCACCCCCATCAATTGGGAACCACTTGTTGGAAAGGTGTCAAACACAATAGGAACCCCAACACCACCATCTCTTTCAACCTCGGGAAATTCCAATGGAGCGTAGCCATACGAGCCTTGGTGGGCCAAATTCCAAAAAATCATGGAAACCTAACCCGGGGGCCAAAACGTCCTTCTTAGGAATTCGTTGAAGGGATTTATCTTTCTTCTTCATGGGCCATCATACCTGCCAAAAAATCAAAAAAAAAAAAAAAAAAAAAAAAACCCCAAAAAAAACTCAAATTAATTTTGAAAGCCCACCACACAGGAAAACCCTCGTTAAACCACCACGACTGTCACCGCAATAGTTCGAGGAGCACCACGAAAACCCTAAATTGCGAGATGCAATCCCAAAAATCACAAACCCTAACTCACAAAAAGCCCAAATTGCAAAGAGCCACCACATTGGAACCCTTGTTAACACCGCATTAGTTTGAGAGCATCGCGAAATCCCAAATCGTGAACCCTAAAATTGTGAGATCTTCTCCACATGTTTGAACCTACAATATCAAAAATCATGAATCCTAACTCACAAAAGTCCCAAATCACGAGATTTGTCTTCTCCTCCATGCCATCAA